CCCCCTTTTCCAAATTTTAATATCGACTCAAAATAATTTAAAAAGACAAATTACAATAAAACGGTTTATTATCCAACTATCAGAAATTTCACAACATGCCAAGGAAGAGAGGAAGGAGCAATTAAATAATCAAAATTATAAAGGATTAAAAATATATATATAAAAATGGGGAATATCGCACTTCTAACAATCTCTGCGAGTATGTGGGCTAAATTTAAAGAATCCGTGCTTCTCACATGGACAACCGTATGCGGCCAACTCACGTAATTATATAGTGAATTATATAATTCACTATATAATTAAATTAAATATTAAACAACTTCTCAAAGTTTCACGGCAATCGGATAAACGGTGTGGTAATGCATGAAGGACACACACACACATACATTCATTTATATATATATATATATGTATGCAAAAGCGAGCATAACATACAAATTGAACGAGAAGAAGCGCATAAAGGAGTTAAACGGGCTGCAGAGATGGTTGATAATACCGCTAATAAACTTTCCCTATTACACATTGAAAAAAAGTATTTTTGTTAATATACGAAAAATAGATCGTGGTACTTTAACTAACAAAAATATTATTATAGGAAAATTGTTGATTTCGGAAACAGAGTTTACAAGAGAGAGACCAAATTCGAAATAATTAAAAATTGATTCTGTCGTTACGAATTACAAGACTCGTCGAATGATTATAATGATGAAATACCAGAAATATCAATATCTCTGCGAGAAGGCATGACTAACCAATCATTATTTGGTGGTGAAGGATTTCAAAAATGATCATGCAAACCCGCGAAAAATCAGGATAACACTAATAGATGCACATGTATTAAAAGGAAAGTTCTTTGCAGATCTAAAAGTCATTTTAATATTATTTATTAATGCAAAGTGAACATCTATTTGATATGTTTAATATTATTTTATAACTATTGAATAAATGTAACGGTTTTAAAGTGTTTTCTCATTTTTGTAATTTAATTTTTCACTGTTTTATGTGTCAAACTACCTCTCTTTATTTGTGTCGTAATTTTAATTGTAAAATTACGACATAAATAAACTACACATAAACTTTTAATTGTAAAAGCCTTACTGTCCTTAAATTTTAATGTTATTGTTAATTGTCTACTTGGACTTTACTTATTAATAGGACTTAATACTGGTGTTTAAAGATTGGCACAGCAATGAGAGTTAGTTCAAGAAAGAACAAAATTTCTTTACTATATCACCTGTAGTAATAATTTCTGTACACATATTATACGTGTTTCCGGCTAGCATTCCCTCATCAGCAATACTACTACCATACACTAAAAAGGTAACAACAATAATACAAATAAGTTACTGTATAAGTTAAAAAAATTTTCACTTAGCCATAAAAAACAACTTACTGTAAATACATATTTTAATCCCGAGTATAAATGTATCTTTCTCGTTGTATAATTAAACATTTCACTATATAATTAAATTAAATAAATATAGTAAATAAAGGTTGTAAATTATTAAAATCTAACAACATACATAAAATCTAACTCTCATTGCTGTGCCAATCTTTAAACACCAGTATTAAGTCCTATTAATAAGTAAAGTCCAAGTAGACAATTAACAATACACAAACTTATTTGTACCTGTAACAAATTTAAAAAAAGAATTTCGACTTTATTATAAGAGTATAAAAATATATTCTAATTAAATTTTTCTCAGCCAAACAAACGTTTTGCCTATAATTTTGCTTACTAAAATAATCTGGCATTATAGTATTATTAATTAATTAATATTTAGGGGAGACCGGGGTAAGATCGGCATGTTAAGCTTTACTTAAATTTTGTGTAATAAATACTGCTGTAAACTGAAAAAAAAGCTTTGCATATTGTCTATTGGAATGTTACCTTACTATAGAACTGGTTAAAATCAGTTTGGAAATAAAAATAATTAAAATAATTACAACTTTACAAGAAGAGAGAAATTGACGAAGTTGCCCCGGGTATAGGGGCAAGATCGGCAACTTCTCTCTTTTTGTAAAGTTGTAATTATTTTAATTATTTTTATTAAAGTTGCCCCTGGTATAGGGGCAACAGTAATGGGGCAAGATAGGCACGTATATAAAATTATGTTATTAACAATGTATAAGTTGGAATTCACTATTAAAACAAA